AGCAGGCCAGCATGACGACCTCAACAATGAGCAACTTTTAAGAGAGAACCTGGACTTCGTAGAAGAGGTCAGGGAGATGTCGAGAATAAGAACTGTGGCACATCAAAACCGTGTTGCAAAATTTTACAATAAAAGGGTCCGAGCTCGCCAGTTTCAAGTTGGCGACCTTGTCCTACGTAAAGCTGGATTAACTAACACTCATTCACACATGGGCAAGCTCGCTCCTAATTGAGAAGGCCCCTATATGGTAGTTCAAGTTAAGTGACCTGGCTCTTACGTGTTAGCCGATATACAAGGATGCCAGTTACCTTACATTTGGAACATACAGAATCTTAGAAAATTTTACAGTTAGCCTGTATACTATTCTTTTATTCAAGTCGTTATTCAACAGTTGTAAACAAGGGTATACCGAAAATACAGCAAGAATTCAAAAAAATATTCATTTTTGTATTTCATCAAGGATGTTTACATTGAACGTACATACGATATGGATCCATTGATCGGATACAAAAATGCAAAAAAAGGTACAAAAAATCAAAAGAAAAAAATCCCTAAATCTAGTCATCCGTCAGATCGACGGGAATGGATGCATCAGCAGCGGCTGCAGGAGCGCGAGCAGGAGGAGACCGGGCAGCGGGCTCAGAGGCTGGCGCGTTGACCGGGGAGCCTGGTGACACAGCAGCGGGCTGAGAGTTAGGTGGGGTGCTTGAAGGCTCCTGCTCAGCCACAGGAGCACCCTCTACCCAGGCGTCAAAAGAGGACAGTCCTGCTGGATTATCCCCGTCCTCCAGCACGGACGGTGGCCAGACGGGCACACCCTCCTCGTTCAGATCCCACCTCAGCCTCACGGTTGTGTCAGCGAGGGGAGCAAGGCTTTTACCCTGCTCGTCGAGCTCCTCCTCGTCAAAAAAGACCAGCTCGCGGATCGGAAAATCCGGGCGGTGTTGCAGCACCTTTCCACGGATCTCGTTGTAGATCTCCGTGGTTACATTTGCTGACGCCACCGCCACAGCATCCTGAAACACAGCCGAGCCAACGAGCCATTCCGCCCCTTGAGCCCGGGCGATGACGATAGAACGGGCATGGGAAGCCTTCAGTTCGTTCAGCGATTCCCCGGCAGCAGCAAGATTTCTGTCCGCCTCGGCGACTTGCTGCCTAAGGGAGCTCAGCTCGTGCTGAGCGTGATCCCTGTCAGCCTCAGCTTTTTTCGCCTTGTCTTCAACCCTGGCGGCCTCATCCTTCGCTGCTTGGATCCCGCTCTCTCTTTCCGCTCGAGCTCGCTCTAGCTCCTCGATGAGCTCATTGATCTTATTGGCGAGCTCGTCCGCCCGGCTCTCAGCAGCTGCAGCTCGGTTTGCCATTTCAGAGCCCTGCAGACGATTCACATCGTCCGCAAGGCTGGCCTTCTCAGCAGCCAGTAGCTTGCACTTGGAACCGAGCTCGCTGTTTTGTGTACGAGCCGCCTGGTCACTCTCGTAGAGCGCCACAGCGTAGTTGAATGCCTGCCAAACAGCAACAATAGTAAGTACCCAATAAAGCAAGACAAAACATTTAAAGAAATACGAGCGAACACTTACATCCATCAGCTTGATCATGGCGACCTGGCCGCCATGCTGCTGCACGAACGCTTTTGCACGCCGATTATCTGTCGGGGGCACAAAACTGTGCATGGCCTGCACCATGGCGGGCTGACACTCCGCACGTGTGTAGCTGAAACCCTCAGGATAAGCAATCCTGGGGCCCGAGGACGAAGCTGATGCCGAGGCGGGCTCGACTGGCGCCTGCGCGATCGCTGACGGTGCGACGGGCGAACGCACCGTTGT